AGTTGCAAGAAAAAGTATGTGAACCCCTTGGGATAACGCGGAGTTTTGCATGAATTGGTCATAAAATGTGCTCTGAACGTCATCTAAGTCACAACAATAGAAAAACACAGTCTGTTGAAAATAATAATACACAAACATTACATGTTGCCATGGTTTAATTGAACATAACATGTAAACATTCACAGTGCAGGGAGGAAAAAGTATGTGAACCGTTGGACTTAATAACTGGTTGACCCTCCTTTGGCAGCAATAACCTCAACCAAACGTTTCTTGTAGTTGCAGATCAGACCTGCACAACAATCTGGAGTAATTTTGGACTACTCCTCTTCACAAAACTGTTTCAGTGTAGCAATATTCTTGGGATGTCTGGTGTGAATCGCTCTCTTAAGGTCATGCCACATCATTTCAATCGGGTTGAGGTCAGGACTCTGACTGGGCCACTCCAGAAGGAGTATTCTGTGCTGTTGAAGCCATTGTTTTGTTGAATTATTTGTATGCTTTGGGTCATTGTCCTGTTACATCACCCATCCTCTGCGGAGCTTCAGTTGGTGGACAGATGGTTGTACGTTTTCCTGCAAAATATCTTGATAAACTCTGGAATTCATTTTCCCATCAATGACAATGATCCGTCCAGGCCCTGAGGCAGCAAAGCAGCCCCAAACCATGATGCTCCCTCCGCCATATTTTACAGTAGGGATGAGGTTTTGATGTTGGTGTGCTGTGCCTTTTTTTCTCCACACATAGTGTTGTGTGTTTTTCCCAAACAACTCAATTTTGGTTTCATCTGTCCACAGTATATTTTGCCAGTAGTGCTGTGGAACATCCAGGTGCTCTTTTGCAAACTTCAAACGTGCTGCAATATTTTTTTGGACAGCAATGGTTTCCTCCGTGGTGTCCTCGCATGTACTCCATTCATGTTTAATGTTTTCCTTATTGTAGATGTGTCAACAAAAATGTTAGCATGTGCCAGAGATTTCTGTAGGTCTTTAGCTGACACTCTAGGATTCTTCTTTACCTCAAGAAGCATTCTGCGCTGTGCTCTTGCAGTCATTTTTACAGGNACTGATTGGAGTCAAGGTTGGCTCCCTCCTGGCTCCAATTAGCTCTTGGAGACGTCATTAGGCTAGGGGCTCACATACTTTTTCCTCCCTGCTCTGTGAATGTTTACATGTTATGTTCAATTAAACCATGGCAACATGTAATGTTTGTGTATTATTATTTTCAGCAGACTGTGTTTTTCTATTGTTGTGACTTAGATGATGTTCAGAGCACATTTTATGACCAATTCATGCAAAAGTCCGCATTATCCCAAGGGGTTCACATACTTTTTCTTGCAACTGTATTTGTGCCACAGACTTGACTGCCCAATAAATGAGTAAGTGTTATAAGTATACGGTAGTCTACACTGAAGTTGCTAATTACATGATCTTCACAAATATGCCTTGTGTTTCCCAGAATTTCTGTGGCAGTCTACCTCAAAGGTCATTGTAGAGATAAATTGTCCTTAACCATCTTGCCATATGATATAACAATAAATTTATCTGTTAGATTTTCTCTTTTATCATAATGCTGGTTGCCTTGTAATGGAACACTGAAGGAGCCATTTTAAACAGGAAATAAGACTTTTTGGTTAGCTTTTAGTTCTTCAGAGCCATGTGAGGCTGGTTTATGGGTCTAACCCAGGGGTAGGCAACCTTGGCTCTTTTATGACTCGTGGACTTCAATTCCTAGAATTCCTGAGCCAGCATGGCTCAGCATGGAAACCTCTCCCTTTCCCCTCAGCATGGCTGGCTCAGGAATTCTGGGAGTTGAAGTCCACGAGTCATAAAAGAGCCAAGGTTGCCTACCCCTGGTCTAGGACAACTCAGCATGGCCAATTCGCCACAGTTAATTCGCTGTGGCCAACTCGCTCCGGGACAACTCACCACAGGACAAGAGTTAGACTAATATCAAAGAAATGGTGGAATAGAATCATTAAAGAAAGGATGTAAAAGGAGGGACACAATGAAATGCGAATGATAAAAATTAAAACATTTTTAAAATTATTTTAAATACTTAAATTGAATTGTTGAATTATCTCACAGCGAGTTGCCCCCTGGTGAGTTGGCCGTGCCAAGTTGAGCCATTCCACTGGTTTACTGCATTTTCTTTGTATTCCACCATGCTGTGTGGAAACGGTCCAAGAAGCCTCTATCTACCCAAATTATTTGACCTAGTGGAATAAATTTATTTTTGCTAATAAATAAATGTGTGTATGTAGCCTGTGTATTTGCTTTATGTTTCTAAGCTTATGATACATTGCACTGACTAGTGGGAAGGAAGTGGGAAGTTTATAAACTAAATCATACACTCAGGCACACACACACACACACACACACACTGAGAGATTACACAACTATTGGGTTTTTTCTAAAATAGATTTAGAAATTGAAATTGAAGTTACTCCATAAAACTTGCTATAAAATTCCTTTGTACCTTTGAATTTTGAAAAAAAGATAACAGAAGATTTCTTTTGTTCTTTTTTAAAAAATAATTTTGTTAAAGATTATAATTACAATAGTAAAAACATGGTAAAGAACTAAACTAAAGACAAAATGGAAAGAGTAAAAAGTACAAAGGAAAAGATAATGAAGAAAAGAAAAGAAAGAGAAAGAAAAGATTGACTTCCAACTTTAATCACAACTAGTATAAACAATTTAGTTTAATTCATCTCTTAATTTACAACCAATGAACTCTTCATCCCGTGCCCATCTCTTACCTATAAGCAAAGCACTGTCCTTTCAGCCTTAACTGTCAGCACAATTCCATTAAAACTTGTCAGAAATTACATATTTTAACCTTGATCAAATAAACCAACTTTATATTCCTGCCTTTTACTGTACTTCTGGCAACCTTAATCTTTAGTCCTTTCAAGAAATGTTGTGGAACTTGATTTCATTTCTTTTTTGTCCCTTCTCACACGATTCATCCAACCTTTCAACAAATCTCTTTTGTAAATCCAATATAAAAGAACTACCCAGATAGTTCTTATTTTATTCTTTGTAATTCCCTTTTAATTTTCAAAGACATCTTTTTCCATATTCTGGTAGCCTGCCATTTATAGATCCACTTTCGGTGTCAACTCTGTCAGATGAAACCTATTCCACATCTGCCATTCCTTTCATAACATCTTTTAGACACAGTTTAGTCATAGAAGCAAACATTGTTATTGACACTGTTACTATTAACTTCTGATTCCATTTTTCAAAAGTGTCCTTCAGTATTTCCAATGCTATAATACAGTATACAGTATTGCATTATTCTATACTTGTTAATCAGGTCTATGTCTAGTTCCCTCTAATGTCCAATTTTTAAAATTTACATATCTCAATTACATCTTAGGAAAAAAAAACAAATCCCTTTTCCCATGGGAAGGATTATTTACAATTAATTCCAAAATCTTATTTCAAATTTATCTGGACTTTAATTCATTTAAAATTCTGCAATCAAAGTCTTAACTATTTGCTGTTTATTTCAAACATTTAAAACTTAGTAAAAATGTGCAGTTAAAACCTTTTTTCATTAAGGATTTAAGGCAGACTCACTGGTTGCTTTCAGACTTGTTAATCCCAAAGTCTCATATAGCTGAAAAGTAGTTAAGAAGCAA